CCCTTTATGTGTTTCTTTTTTTTTTTTTAATTATTTTTTTATTTTTTGATATCCATGTATCCCAGCTTATACGAGACTAAATCATGGACCTCCAAAATCCTTGCCCCTAGAATCTTGGAGGGGGTAAATCGCGAGTTATGCCTCAACTGAATCACAGGTTCCCCCCACCGCTTGTACACTTCTGCGCACAAGAGATCCTCCTCCAAAGTGATTGCTCCATACCAAATAAATCTGGCCTCAGATTCCCACCAAGAATCGAACCTCCACCCTGCCGCTGAAAGTAAGACAAATGTTGATTGATCTACTCTTTATGTGTTTCTTTAGTTCTACTTTAGGATGTTAGGGTTTTTTTTTTCCCTTTCAATAGCTAATTTTCAAAATTTCTTGTATAACATAGATCTTATAACTGACAGTTTATGCAATGCATTGATTGCTACATTCTCAATGTTTGCTGCTATCGTCTATTTTTTTTTAATGGAATTTTTGTGATTTTGTTGATACCTATTGCCGAGCACTTGAATTTCTTTTGGATGAGTAAACCTCTGATATCTGATAAAGAAATACTAATATTCACTTCATTGTTAAGTGTGAAAAAACCTCTGATGTCTAGTAAAGCTAATTTGACATGAACCCTATCCAATTAAATAAAGAAGCAAGGATAACTGTTTGTATGTTACCATAATTATTGTAGCGGAAATCCCTCTATAAATCTTGATTCCGGGCTCATAAAACAACCAAATGAACACCGGTTTACCTCGGCTCGACCCAAGACTTTCGCCTTCACTTTGGATTGTCCAAACTCTCTCAAACTCCACAAAGGAGAAGGGTGGTGGTGTTAGCAATCCACAAAGGTATGGAGAGGAAGAAGAATAGTGGTTGAATCTTACTCACAACCTCACATGGTTTTCCTCTCTCTCGATTGCCTCTCTTCTCTCAACTCTCCTCTCCATTGCTAAAACACACACACACCACCAAAATGGCTGGGATATATATATATATATATATATATTAGTTTAGGTCACTCCAATTGGGCCTAGGGTTCACTAAGAGGGCTACCAATTAACCTAAACTAATGGGCCAATATTCAACTCCATATTAATCACTAAATGGTCCAACTAACCAAATAATCATCCAATCCAAACCCGAGTCATCCAAAAGTGTAGTTCGTCTCCGAGTCGAGCCAAGTCCATGGTGTCGATAAATAATCCGACAACTGTTTTAAATCATCGCCCGGATTATTGGGTATCAAAAAATCCAACAATCTCCACCTTGATGCCCAATAATCTGCAAGCAAACAAAACACACAGTTTATACTTGCACAATCTAGGTAATCCAATAAAATTGGAATAACAGACCTTACCTCGTGTTTCCAACTTGAAACACATATGATACTTGCTCCATGTACTCACCAGAGCTAAGGTCAAGAACACCCAAGTAGAAACAAATATTCACAGTAAACAAACAATCATGCGATGAAGATATATAGGATAACATACACACAGATCTTTTCAAAACCACGTTCACACAGAACCACAGATTAACACCTAGTTAATCAAACCATGGTCAACCACATATGCGACACATGCATAAATAACCATAAGAGAAGATCTCACCACACTTATCCTATCCCATTCCGTGTTGCTCACACCTCGAGAACACATATCTCGTCTCATCGCCCACAATGCTCACTAAACCAATCACTTAACTCATGTCTAACTAACAAGTTACAATAGATCCTAAACTCTCGGGATGATCCTCTATCACCACATCGCTTCTCCTAACCTACGTGGATAATGGGACTCCACCTTACAGAAGTGATAGAAGTGTCTCTCTCACACTCCAC